CTCCAATTCCAGGATGACCCTATTCTGCTATGATAAACACACCATCCAGCAAGTGGAGGTTGCCATTTTGGAAACTTGCCACATAACCATTCACCACCTAGCCCAAAAGGTCAACATTAGTGTGGGGTCCATGGAAAAAAAATCATCCAAGACCATGTTCACATGCATAAGGTATCTGCTCACTGGGTCCCCCAGCTGCTTACACCTTTCCAGGAGCAGGAACGAGTTGAATGCTCTCAGGCTCTATTGACAATGTGCTATGGAAACTAGGAGGACTTTTTCAACAGACTGATCACACAGGGTGAAAGCTGGGTCCATCACTCTGATCGTGAGACTAAAGTCCGGTTGATGCAATGGAAGAATCATGACTCACCGCCTCCAAAGAAGGCACGTGCCCAACTCTAGACAGGAAAAGTCATGCTCACCGTCTTTTGGGACCAGCACAGAGTAGGATTGATGGATTTCCTAGCAAAGGGGACCATGATCACTGGGGCATACTAGGCTTCACTGCTGCAGAAATTGTGAGAGGCCATCAAAACCAAGAGACCTGGCATGCTCACTAAAGGTGTCCGCCTTCTGCAAGACAATGCACCAGTTCACCCCTCACATATTGCCCAAATGGAAGCATGCTCCTGGGGCTTTGAAATTTGACCACATTCCCCTTATTCACCCAACCTCACAGCATCAAACTTCCACCTCTTTCCAACAATGAAGGGCAAGCATTTTTCAGATGATAAGACTCTGATTTCTGAAGTCACAATGTGGCTTTTGGAGCAACCTGTCGACTTCTACAAGCAAGGTGTCTACAGTTGCTTCGAAAGATGGGAGAAGTGTGTGTCCCTAGGTGGCACCCATGGAGAGAAGGACTCAGAACTGTGCCAAGTTTCATTGCTCTCAGTCCACAGGAAGTGGGTCAAGGGAAATCTTTAATGAACGCCCCTCATATGTCCATCCAAATGTTGAAGGTATAGCTAATGACAACGAATGATGGCAGCTGTAGTCCAACAACAACAACTCTTCTAACTCTCCCATCTGTTCCTGGTTTACATCCATCCAAATTTTCAAGGTATAATCACCTCTCAACAAAAGTTTGCTCCAGGCACTGTCAGGCAATTATATGCTAATCAAGGTGGTCAGTTGACACACCTAGCTCCAGCAGACAAGAGCCCTTTGTCCCACCCTGGTCATTCCACAGATATATAAACCCTTTTTCCTAGTTCCAACAGACCTCACTACCTTTGAGGATGCTTGCCATAGATGCAGGTGAACCGTCAGGAGAGAATGCCTCTAGAACATGGCCATATAGCCCGAAAAAACCTACAGCAACCCATTGATTCCGGCCATGAAAGCCTTCGACAATACTTTCAAGGTACAGCTAATGACGACGAATGATGGGAGCTGTAGTCCAGCAACATCTCTTCTATCTCTCCAACATCTCTTTTAGATATGCAGTTCATTGCTTCTGTAAACTGCATGGCTTTAAAAAGTAATACTGTCAGGAACCTAACCCACACATTTGGCCGCTCAGTGTGTTTGAGTCTTATCTTGCTAAAGCAAGGGCATATCTTTCTCTTTTTTTAGAGGAAGTGTCATCTCTTGGGGGTGGGTGACACGGGACAAACTGACATATGACAAAGAGTGTGTGGCACAATCGCTGACTCCAGAACGAAAGGGTGAACACAGTCATGTTCTTGTTCTGAGGGTCTATGAGTCACCCAAGCACAACGCGGGGGGAACAGAAGGAGGCAACTCAGAACTTTTGGCATTCCACCCATGAAAACTGGGACACAAGCACCATCAGAGTGTGCTCAAGACAACAAAGGCCACGAATGAGGAAGAATGCCTAAGGTAGAAGCACTGCAGCTGTTTGCTTTTGCCTGAGCCTACTGGGAAGGGCAAGGTTTTGCCATCTCCTCTCTTGGGCTCCAATTTTGTGCCCATTAGATACAAGCATTTCTTTGTTTCCCAGAATCCTGTCAAGGCTAACAGCAAAAGCTGGTCTATCTATCTGTCTGTCTGTCTGCACACAGATATACACACACACACACAAACACACATATATATTTGTGTGTGTGACACACACATACACTAGCTTGGAGACCCGGCAATGCCCAGGAAAAGCTGGTCGGTCTGTCTGTTTGTCTATCATCTATCTATCTATCTATCTATCTATCTATCTATCTATCTATCTATCTATTTACACACAGATACACACACACATATACTAGCTTGGGGACTCAATGATGCCCAGGTTACTTGAGAAAGGCATTGTTTGTTTTGGGAAGTTTGCTAATATTTCTGGATACAGGGTGAACTACAACTCTTCTCAGCACTTGGAACTATAGCCTATTTGTGGAGGCAGGAGGCTGTCTGTGTAAGTGGACACCTCCACCACATATACACATACACACATTTTCACTTTTATTATATGTATAGATTATACACACACACACACACACACACACACACACACACACAGGGACACATATATCCATACATATACACTATGGATAAACATGCATATATGCAAACATATGTGTGCTTATGTCTGTATAATATGTATTCACATATTATATGTATATATGTATATACACACACACACACATCTATAATGTATATATATGCACACACATACATACACATATACTGTATATACCAACATATTTACATATCTTTCTGTGTGTGGAAATAAATATATATGCATTTTGTGCATACACGCTATCCAGAGATAGATATGTGTGCGTGTCTGTATATATGCATGTATACATATATACACAGATGAAATAAGCAGATATTGACCCAGTACATATACACACATACATATGGATAGATAGATATGTATATATACATGAATACAACACATACATATACTACACATATACACATGTATATGCATACATGTGTATTTATGTATGTATAATATATATTCACATAGAGTGTTTAGGTATGTGCTGTCCAAATTTGGTGTCAATTGGTTCAGTGGTTTTTGAGTTCTGTTAATCCCACAAACGAACATTACATTTTTATTTATATAGATTACGTGTAATATAAAATATATAATTATAATATCATATTATTAGAAGTAGTAGTATTGTATTGTATTACATTATAACATTATAAATATTATATGTATATACAATTGTTGTTGTTGTTCATTCGTTCAGTCGTCTCCGACTCTTCGTGACCTCATGGACCAGCCCACGCCAGAGCTCCCTGTCGGCCGTCACCACCCCCAGCTCCTTCAAGGTCAGTCCAGTCACTTCAAGGATGCCATCCATCCATCTTGCCCTTGGTCGGCCCCTCTTCCTTTGCCTTCCACTTTCCCCAGCATAATTGTCTTCTCTAGGCTTTGCTGTCTCCTCATGATGTGGCCAAAGTACTTCAACTTTGTCTCTAGTACCCTTCCCTCCAGTGAGCAGTCGGGCTTTATTTCCTGGAGGATGGACTGGTTGGATCTTCTCGCAGTCCAAGGCACTCTCAGCACTTTCCTCCAACACCACAGCTCAAAAGCATCGATCTTCCTTCGCTCAGCCTTCCCTAAGGTCCAGCTCTCACATCCGTAGGTTACTACAGGGAATACCATGGCTTTGACAAGGCGGATCTTTGTTGCCAGTCTGATGTCTCTACTCTTCACTATTTTATCGAGACTGGACATTGCTCTCCTCCCAAGAAGTAAGCGTCTTCTGATTTCCTGGCCATAGTCTGCATCTGCAGTAATCTTTGCACCTAGAAATACAAAGTCTGTCACGGCCTCCACATTTTCTCCCTCTATTTTCCAGTTGTCAATCATTCTTGTTGCCATAATCTTGGTTTTTTTTTGTTTTAGCTGCAACCCAGCTTTTGCGCTTTCTTCTTTCACCTTGATTAGAAGGCTACTCAGCTCCTCCTCGCTTTCGGCCATCAGAGTGGTGTCATCTGCATATCTGAGGTTGTTAATGTTTCTTCCAGCAATTTTCACCCCAGCTTTGCATTCATCAGCCCCGCACATCGCATGATGTGTTCTGCATACAAGTTAAAAAGGTTGGGTGAGAGTATGCAGCCTTGCCGTACGCCTTTCCCAATCTTGAACCAGTCTGTTGTTCCATGTGGTCAGTTCTGACTGTTGCTACTTGGTCCTTGTACAGATGCCTCAGGAGAGAGACAAGGTGGCTTGGTATGCCCATCCCACCAAGAACTTGCCACAATTTATTATGATCCACACAGTCAACGGCTTTAGAATAGTCAATGAAGCAGAAATAGATGTTTTTCTGAAACTCCCTGCCTTTCTCCATTATCCAGCGGATATTGGCAATCTGGTCTCTCGTTCCTCTACCTTTTCTAAACCCAGCTTGAACATCTGGCAACTCTCGCTCCATGTATTCCTGGAGTCTTCCTTGCAGGATCTTGAGCATTACCTTACTGGCATGAGAAATAAGGGCCACTGTACGGAAGTTTGAGCAGTCTTTCGCATTTCCCTTTTTTGGTATGGGGATATAAGTTGATTTTTTCCAGTCTGATGGCCATTCTTGTGTTTTCCATATTTGCTGGCAAATGGCATGCATCACCTTGACAGCATCATCTTTTAAGATTTTAAACAGTTCAGCTGGGATCCCGTCATCTCCTGCTGCCTTGTTGTTAGCAATGCTTCTTAAGGCCCATTCAACCTCACTCCTCAGGATGTCTGGTCCTAATTCATTCACCACACCGTCAAAACTATCCTCAATATTATTATCCTTCCTATACAGATCTTCTGTATAGTCTCGCCTTGCATAGTCTCGTATAGTCTCGTCTTGCAGATGTATTTGGATATATAACTATGTATGTAATAGGTATATTATACGCATATATAATATACCTATTACATACATAGTTATATATCCAAATACATCTGCATGTCTATCTCTGTGTATGTGCATTCCTACCTATACAACCCTATATACCAAGCCATCCCTCTTCCATAGGGCAAACTCCCATCTGGGGCGCCTCCTCCTCCTCCTCCCTGCTGGAGCCTCCCACCTTCCAGGGGCGGAGCACGCTCTCTTCCCAGGAGGCTGGCTTGAGCTCCGGCTTGGCCTTGGAAGCAGGGCCGGAGGAGGACGATGCGCCTGGAGAAGGGCTCCCCCGTGGGGCCTGCAGCCGGACAGAGTTCCAGCTGCCCCGCCACCGCCGGGGACGAGGCCCGGGAAAAGGTGAGCCTTGTTGCAGGGGCGCCTTTCTTAAAGGGGGCCTCAAGCACGAGGAGGTTTGGGGGAGAAGGGCTTCGGCCTCGAGCGGTACTTGGACCACTACAACTCCCATGGTCTCCTATAATCCTGACCGAAGTGTGTGTGTGTGTGTCTTTTCCAAAACAAGCTGCTAGAAAGCTGGGAGTTGTAGTGTGGTCCTTGGAGCACCACAACTCTCATATTCTCCTATAACCGTGATCACGTGTGTGTGTGTATGTGTGTGTCTTTTCCAAAGCAGGCTGCTGGGAAACTGGGAATTGTAGTGCGTTACTTGGAGCACTACAATTCCTGTGAACTCCTATAACCGTAATCACAGTGTGTGTGTGTGTCTTTTCCAAAGCAGGCTGCTGGGAAGCTGGGAGTTGTAGTGTGGTCCTTGGAGCACTACAACTCTCATATTCTCCTATAATCCTGACCGAAGTGTGTGTGTGTCTTTTCCAAAACAGGATGCTGGGAAGCTGGGAGTTGGAGCACTACAACTTGGAGCGCTACAACTCCCATGCAGTACTTGGAGCACTACAACTCCCATGGTCTCCTATAACCATGATCACAATGTGTGTGTGTGTCTTTTCCAAAGCAGGCTGCTGGGAAGCTGGAAGTTGTAGTGCGGTACTTGGAGCACTACAACTCCCATGGTCTCCTATAACCGTAATGACAATGTGTGTGTGTGTCTTTTCCAAAGCAAACTGCTGGGAAGCTGGGAGTTGTAGTGCGGTCCTTGGAGCACTACAACTTCCATGGTCTCCTATAATTGTGATCACAATGTGTGTGTGTGTGTGTGTGTCTTTTCCAAAGCAGGCTGCTAGGAAGCTGGGAGTTGTAGTGCAGTACTTGGAGCACTACAATTCCCAAGGATATAGAAGGAGAGAGGGAAGAAGGGGAGAAAGAGGGAAGGAAGGACTGAAGGGAAGGATGGGAGGAGAAAGAGGGAGAGAGGGAACGAAGGAAGAAAGAGGGAAGGAAGGAAAGACAAAAGGGAAGGAGGAAAAGAAAAAGAGAAAGAAGGGAGGGATGGAAGGGGAAAGAGGGAAGGAAGGAAAGACAAAAGGGAAGGAAGAAAGGAAGGAAGGGAAGGATGGAAGGAGAAAGAGAGTGAGGGAAGAAGGGGAGAAAAAGAGAAGGATGGAAGGAGAAAGGGAAAGAGGAATGAAAGGAAGAATGAGGGAAGTAAGGAAAGACAAAAGGGAAGGAACGATGAAAGGGAATGAGGAAGGAAAAAGAGAAAGAAGGATGGAAGGATATAGAGGGAGAGAGGAAAGAAGAGGAAAAAGAGGGAAGAAAGGAAAGACAAAAGGGAAGAAAGGGAAGACAAAAGGGAAGAAAGGAAGGATGAAAGGAAAGGAGGAAGGAAAAGGAGAAAGAAGGGAGAAAGGGAAGGATGGAAAGAGAAAGAGGGAGAGAGGGAAGAAAGAGAGAAAGAGGGAAGAAAGGAAAGACAAAAGGGAGGGAAAGAAGGATGAAAGGGAAGGAGGAAGGAAAAAGAGGAAGAAGGAAGGGAAGGATGGAAGGAGAAAGAGGGAGAGAGGGAAGAAGGAGAGAAAGAGAGAAGAAAGGAAAGACAAAAGGTAAGGAAGGTTGAAAGGGAAGGAGGAAGGAAAGCGAGGAGGAAGGGAAGGATGGAAGGCGAGAGAGGGAAGAAAGAGGGAAGGAAGGAAAGACAAAAGGGAAGGAAGAATGAAAGGGTGGAAGAGAAAGAAGGAAGGGAAGGATGAAGGAAGGGAAGACAGAAGAGAAGGAAGTAAGAGAAAAGGGGGGAGAGTGGGGAAAGAGGCAAGGATGGAAGGACGGAAAAGGTGGAAGGGAAGGATGGAAGGAGAAAGAGCCAAGAGAGGGAAGAAGAGAGGAAAGAAGGAAAGACAAAATGGAAGAAAGGAAGTATGAAAGGGTGGAAGAGAAAGATGGAAGGAAGGAAGGGAAGGATGAAGGAAGGGAAGACAAAAGGGAAGGAAGGAAGGAGAAAGATGGAGAGAGGGAGGAAAGAGGCAAAGAGGGAAGGACGGAAAAGGTGGAAGGGAAGGATGGAAGGAGAAAGAGGGAGTGAGGGAAGGAAAGACAAAAGGGAGGGGAGAACTAAAGAGTGAAAGGGAAGAAGGAAGGAAAGAAAAAAGGAAGGACGAAAGGGTGGAAGAGAATGGAGGGAAAAAGGAGGGGAGGGAGAAGAGAGCGAAGGAAGGAAAGACAAAAAGAAGGAAGGAGAAAGAGGGAGAGAGGGAAGGAAGGACAAAAAGGTGGAAGGGAAGGCGAAAGAAGAAGACAAGGGAGAAGGAAGGAAGAATAGGATGGTGAGAGAGAGGAGGGCTCGGGAAAAGAGCTCAAGGGGTCGTATCTGACCCCCGGGCCCCAAGTTTGACTATACCTGGTGTAGATGCAGCTGTATTTGGCTCCATGCAATTTCCTTTTGAGTAGTAAACCAGATTGGCGTAGATAGAAGATATTCAAATGGGATTCAGTGGAAACTGGATCGTGGTTCGTCTTATTAAAATCTAATTCACTGGAATGTGTACATTATGGCCAGTCTTGTTCTTCTATTAGCAAAATTACTTCGAAGTAAACCCTTTAAACCAATGGAAGCGGTTTCTAGATAATCTACTAACATTAGCGCATGAAGCATTATATTGTTATTATATGCCATGATTATGATGATGGAGCACATTTAATTTTATCCTGGAATAGTATTTTCAAACCAGTTTCTCAAGTCGTTCCTGACACGAAAAAAAGTATTTTCTGGGATGGACTTATATACCTTGCAGAGTCTGCACTTGGGATCTGTTGTCGACTTTTCAATTCTGGCTTTTCTGTTATTATTATTATTATTATTATTATTATCATTATCATTATTATTATTATTATTATTGGGTTGTTGTGAGATTTCCGGCCTGTATGTCCATGTTCCAGAAGCATTCTCTCCTGACGTTTCACCCACATCAATGGCAGGCATCCTCAGAGGTTGTGAGGTCTGTTGGAAACTAGGCAAGTGAGGTTTATGTATCTGTGGAATATCCAAGGTGGCAGAAAAAAACTCTTGCCTCTTTGAGGCAACAGTGAATGTTGCAATTGGCTACCTTGATTAGCATGGAATAGACTTCAAAGACTGGCTGAGGGAATCCTTTGTTGAGAGGTGTTAGCTGGCCCTGATTGAACCTTATCTGGAATTCCCCTGCTTTTCTGAGAGTTGCCCTTTATTTACTGTCCTGATTTTAGAATTTTTAGATACTGGCAGCCAGATTGTGTTCATTTTCATGATTTCCTCCTTTCTGTTGAAATTGTCCACATGCTTGTGGATTTCAATGGCTTCCCTGTGTTGTCTAAGATGGTGGTTGTTAGAGTAGTCCAGCATTTCTGTGTTCGCAAATAATATGCTGTGTCCAGGTTGGTTCATCAATTGCAACATTCACAGCTGCTTCAAGCAGACAAGAGTTCTTTCTCCCACCCTGGACATTTCACAGATATATAAACCCCACTTGCCTAGCTTCCAACAGACCTCACAACCTCTGAGGATGCCTGCCATAGATGTGGGCGAAACGTCAGGAGAGAATGCTTCTGGAACATGGTCACACAGCCCAGAAAATTCACAGCAATCCAATGATTCCTACCATGAAAGCCTTCAACAACACAATAATAATTTTATTTCTTACCTGCCTCTCCACGTGACTTGAGGTGCGTTACAACGGAGCTAAAACACACACAATTATCATAAACATTATGTAAAGTACACATAATAAAATCTATTTCTACAAAATACACAAATTAAAATACGCAGAACGAGGATTGCAATATAGTAAACACAAGACGCAAGTTTAAAATTCACAGTTTGTTTACATTTCACGTATACCTTACACACATAGCCTGAAGGTAATATTATATAATAGTTTACATAAGCCTGTGTACATTGGATTCTCGGAAAGCAAAGGTGTCACTGTCTCAGCCACGCGTTTGGATAATACTCGATTTTGGAGTCTTCTGTATTACTCAAGTATTACCAAAGGCAATGGAATGTGGATTCCTGGCTGGGCTTTAAATGTTTCCAAAGAGAACTTACTCAATCTTTTTTTGCTGATGCCAAAGAAAGTGGGCAAACAAATTTTCCCAAGGCGAGGTTGAAACCTAAAGGCTGACGCAAGCCTCCAGTTTGATCAAGCAAAGTATAATTAGCTGCATCTAATTATAACCGAGGAGGTGGCATAATACATAACAGGTCCTTTACATTTGCCTGGAGATGCACCACTCAACTTTATACTTTTTTCTTGCTCACTTTTTCTAGCTTCAGTCTAGTTCAGACCTGAGCAAACTTGGGCCCTCCAGGTGTTTTGGACTCCAACTCCCACCATTCCTAACAGCCGAAGGCCCCTTCTTTTTCCCCCTCAGCTGCTTACACAGTATTTCCTTTTGATCTTGAGGGTTCTGTATGGGAGGTTTGGCCCAATTCTATCATTGGTGAAGCTGAGAATGCTCTTTGATTGTAGGTGAACTATAAATCCCAGCAACTACAACTCCCAAATGCAGAATGGACATCCTGCTAGTATTCATATTTGGGCATTTTGAGTATCAGTGCCAAGTTTGGTCCAGAACCATCATTGTTTGAGTCCACAGTGCTCTCTGGATGTAGGTGAACTACAACCAAATCTAATCCAGTATATTTTCTGTTGGTCATGGGATTCTGTGCCAAGTTTGGTTCAATTCCATTGTTGGTGGAGTTCAGAATGCTCTCTGATTGTAAGTGAACTATAAATCCCAGCAACTACAACTCCCAAATGTCAGATCTATTTTCCCCAAACTCCACCAGTGTTCACATTTGGGAATATTGAGTATTTTGCCAAGTTTGGTCCAGATCCATCATTGTTTGAGTCCACAGTGCTCTCTGTATGTAGGTGAACTACAACTCCCAAACTCAAGGCCAATGCCCACCAAACCTTTCCAGAGTCGTTATAACGTTCAACGGCAGTCGCTACATTTTACTATAAATC